TCTGCTATTCTATCCCATTCTGTTCTGTTCTATTTTTAACATTTTCTAATGGTGGTGTGCCTCGTGATTTTTTTCATGAAAAAAGTGTGCCTTTGCACAAAAAAGGTTGAAAAACACTGTTTTAAGGTGTCAGCTCTCTTCCCATCACTCCTTAAGGCTATCTTATGATTTAATGGATCTCACTAAGCTAGTAGCACTTTGTTTTCAAAATTAAATATACACCATGAAAAATCACATTTCAAATATCATAGTAATTCCAACATTCTTGCAGATAGAATGTGATTATAATAAAGACTTAATATTAAGTGGTGATTTGAAAACACTTTTCTGTTACAACAGTAACGAAGTTGCTAATAGTTACTTATGCTTATTCTCTCTTCCAGTTTATTAGTAACATCCATGGGACATATAAAGTTAACAGATTTTGGGCTGTCTAAGGTTGGCCTCATGAGTATGACTACTAATCTTTATGAGGGTCATATTGAGAAGGATGCTAGAGAATTTCTAGATAAACAGGTAACCAATGTTTGTTTTCTTTCTGAAAGTTTAGTAAATTAGTTTCAATTTTTATAATAGTATTGCAAATTCCTATAGAAGAGTTATCTTTATTTTTGCACTGCAGATTGTTTCAGATTTGGTTTTTCACCATTATGGTCTATTAGTAAGATGAATGGTCTAATTGAAAGCAAGTGAGGTTGTGAAAGAGACAAATTGAATGTTGTTTTTATAAAGAATTCAGAGTCTCAGCAGAGTACTTGTGAAACTCATGATGCATTGTACAATCAAGGATGCTAAAAATCCTAGCTATGGCCCATTTCCCTTTAAGCATGCCTCATTACCATTTACCCACAATCTGTTCACTCTAAGATTTACTTAAGGTAAAACTGTTCAAGTTTTCAATTTAAAATAAGAATAGTCCAAACATAATCAGTATAAATATATGTATAATGTATTTTGATTTCAAGTTGGCAGGCAGTGTCTTGGAATATCATTTGACTTGCACAAGTTAAGTTGGAAACTTTTATTAGAAAAATGTGAAAAATTAACATTTTCTTAAAAATTAAAAACTATTTAATATGATAGACAATGTTAAGGTTTACAAATGTCTTTTTTACTGTTTCCTTATTTAGGTTTGCGGTACACCAGAATATATCGCTCCAGAAGTGATTCTAAGGCAAGGTTATGGCAAGCCGGTGGACTGGTGGTCCATGGGAATTATCCTTTATGAGTTTCTTGTTGGGTGTGTGCCATTCTTTGGAGATACACCAGAGGAGCTATTTGGACAAGTTATCAGTGGTAATTATCACAAGACAGAAGTGATTTTCCTTATATCACTACACACTTTCCTTTAGGGATGGCTACCTGTGATGGAACAAGGGGTGGGGGAATTGTGCTTTCAGGGAGGATGCAGCACATTCCAGATAGGGGCCCAAAACAGAAACCTGCACAGCCTTGAACTGGATGGATAAGTAGGAAGAAGTTCAGGGTAGCCACACTTTAAAATCTCCCAAAATATATCTATTAGGTTAGAAAGTTATGTCTTTAGTCTGGCAAGATTCTACTAGGCATAGGCAAATAAAGAACTGAACTTGATTAGATTTCAACATGTCGTCTTTGGGCTTGGGAGTGACTGTAACACTCCCTGACCAGTTTTAATTCCTCAGTCAGGGTTTTATTATTTATGAAAGCCTATAATACTATATTATGTATCTATAACTAATCTCCATCTCGCACATCAGGCAAGAATTATAAGTCTGCAAATTTAAACTTCAGAAAAAAATAGAATAAATTTAAGAAATATTATATATTCTTTCTAGAGTGCTTAATTTATTTTTTTATGATTTGAATCACTTCCATGTTTTCCCATTCTGTAAAGTTTTCACTGCTAGAAGAACCTTTTCTCTTGACACACATCCCAGGTCCAAAGTCATTTGAGTAAATGTGTTTGCTTTTCAGTAATTACAATAACAGCAATCACAGTTACATTAACAAATACTGGTAAAGTCGTGACTATGCATTAAATACACATTTAGAACAATTTCTGTCTGCATGTTTCCAGTATAGAGCAATTGTGATTAAGAAACTAGGGAAAGGAATGGAAAAGGGAAAAAAATTGCTACAGAGCTGCCAGAGAAGAATAAGATCATGAAGAAATTAAAAGTGTGGTTGTATCATGATTGGTAGATTGGTGTTGATTGGTGCTGATTGGTGCTGCCTGTGTGTCCATTGTTGTTTCGTGTTGTAACCGCCTGGGTGGGGCTTGTTTGTTGACTAGGGTTGGTTTCCAGATATCTGGTAGGCGGGAGGTATTGTCACGTTTATTCATGTTGTGGGGGTGTTTCTCTATTTCGATAGCTTTCGATAGCTTAATTATTCTCTTGTTGAAGTGTTCAGTTTTGGAGATTAACCTGGTTCCTTCAAAATTAATTTCATGTCCTG